TTTTATTTTTTTTCTATTGCCTGTAAAAGTAAAAGATGTTAATAGTGTCTATGTATTGAGGCCACTGGTGGCTAATGAACAGAACAGTAAGCTTCCAGCTTGCATATCTAGAACCCTGATTTTCTGATTCCAAAGTCTGGGTCACCCTAGGGTTTTGTTGTTTTGTGTGTGTGTGTGTGTGTGTGTGTGTGTGTGTGTGTGTGCATGCTGGGTCTTGAACCCTAAAAACCTGGGTGCTGTCTAAGAGCATTTTTGCTCTACCACTTGATCCACAGCTCCACTTCCAACTTTTTTTGATGGGGAGGGGGAGTCCGGTCGTGGGACCTGAACTCTGGGTCTGGGCGCTGTCCCTCAGCTTTTCAGCTCAAGGCTAGCGCTCTACCACTTGAGCCACAGTGCCACTTCTGGCTTTTTTCTTTTTGCTTATGTGGTGCTGAGGAATCGAACTCAGGGCCTCATGCATGCAAGGCAAGCGCTCTACCACTGAGCCACCTTCCCAACCCCACTTCCAACATTTTTTGGTGGTTAATTGGAGATAAAAATCTCATGTGCTGGTTATGCTTGTTTGCAATAACTAATATACGTCTAGGATAATCTTACCAGACAAGCAGAAAAAGTCAAAAGCTATGTACATATGACCATATAAGATGATGCTAAGCAAAATGAACCCTAAGATCAGAACACAAGAGGTTTTATCTTTCTTGCTATTGTTTTTAATGTACTTATGATGTACTATGTGCTTTTTTTGTTTCTTTTGTATGTTCTTCCCCCATGGTATAACTCCTCTTTTCACTGTATTTGATTCCGGTGCCCTGCATCTTGTATATACATTTTTCTAATTTGGGGAGAGGAAGGGAAATAACAAAATGCTGAAACAAGGATGCATGTTGACTCATTGTAACAACGACATGTACAAGACACTATATTGAAAACGAACTTTACAAGGTTGGAGACGGAGGGAGGGGCTGGAGAGGTGGGAAGGGAAGGGATGGTAGAGGGAAATCGAAGGAGGGAATAGCAATGCTTGATAAGAAATGTATTCATTACCTTACTCATGTAACTGTAACCCCTCTGTACAGTATCTTTACAATAAAAAATATATATTAAAAAATGGGTTTTTCTACCTGGGCTGGCTTTGAACCTTGATCCTCAGATCTCAGACTCTGGACTAGCTAGAATTACAGGACTGAGCCAGACTTAAACTCCCACTTTTAAGAGCTTTGAGAAGTCCTTCACTTTACCAATGTAGCTCTTAGGCATTTGGCACTCACAGACCATTGACTTCCAACGCTATAGGAGCTATTCTTCATCTACTCAAAATACTAACTGGATTGAACAGATATCCTCTGACTGGTGGCAATAAAAATGTGATTTTTTGAAGGTGACAATGAGGACAAAATCAACTTTAAAGAAAAATTAATGTAAAATGAATCCTGGGCCTCATGGATAAGATATGAAGATTCTACAACCTTTTATTGCTCTAAGAAATTATGTTTGATCTGTGTGCTTTGGGTCTTCAGAGAATATGTGATTTTCCATGACTTTTGTTTTTTTGTTCTCCCAAATAACTAGATGTTCTTAATCTCTGTATTGCCACAATCTTGTTACATCCATGATCTTACGACCCTTGTGCATAGCTTCAATAGATAAATTTAAATATAGTCATTTTTTGGTAAAATGTATCATTCAAATACAAAGTTTCTTAAAAGGTATCTTTACACCAGCAATTCTATATAAATCAATGGTCCATGACATTTACATAACAGGTCTGCATCAACCATTTACATTTACATTTTCTCAATGCCACATAAGATCTATATAATATTCTATTTTGTTAGTATCTTACTTAGGAGTAAAGCAACATATCACACTATAGTGCACCTGTCACAAAATATGCTAGTCCATTTTTATCACTGAGAGACATATTTGTAGATTTGAAAAATTGAGATATATTTTTGTATTTTTTGCCTGAGATAAAACCAATTCTTTATTACAACAAAGAGCTTATATGTTATAATTTTAAAAGCCAATGATTTTCATGGTTTTTGCCCCAGTCCAACTAAACTGAGTTCCCAAAGTCCTCTTCCCTCCTCTTGGAGAGTTCATTGACACCTCTCATTCCTGGAGGGATTTTGTTTTGTCTCTAGTATTCTCCCATCTCCACCTGTTACTTTACTAGTTTAACTTTCGTGCTTTCTTTGCTTGCTTGTTTGCTTACTTTGCTTGTTTTCTTTCTTGCTTTCTTTGCTTGCTTGTTTGCTTACTTTGCTTGTTTTCTTTCTTTCTTTCTTTCTTTCTTTCTTTCTTTCTTTCTTTCTTTCTTTCTTTCTTTCTTTCTTTTCTTATGTGAGCCATGAGGTTTGAACTCAAGTCCTGGGCACTGTCCTAGCTCTTTTTTCTCAAAGCAAGCCCTCTACCACTTTGAGCCACAGCTCCACTTGCAATTTTTGAGTGTTTAATTAGAGATAAGAGTCTCATGGGTCCACCTGTATCCCTATTTAAACGATTTGTTTTTTTCCCCTTCCCCTCCACAAATTATACCGACATCAAATACAGTGAAAGCAGGGGTTATACTGTGGGGGAGGGACATACAAAGCAACAAAGAAATCATCTTATAAATGTGTTAGAAACAATCACATGAAAGAAAAAAAACATTTGAATACAATGAGATGTACAAGTCGTTATGTCAAAAACGAACTTTACAACTTTGGTGGGGGGGGGAGCGGGCGGGTAGGATTGGGTGGGGGGGCAGGGGGAGGATGGGAAGGGATGGGAAGGGGAAACAAAGGAGGAGGCTACAATGCTTGATAAGAAAAGTACTCATTTTCTTGCCCATGTAATTGTAACCCCTCTGTACAGTATTTTCACAATAAAAAAATAATAAAACAATTTTAAAAAGAGTCTCATGGGAACTTTTCTGCCCAGGCTGGCTTCAAACTATAATCCTCTAATCTCAGCTTTCTGAGTAGCTAATGTTACAGGTATGAGCCATTGATGCCAGGCTTAACTTACTTTTCACTGTATATAGTCACAGCCTTTGAAAAATGCTATTTTTCCTATGAGTATAATCAAATATAAATGCCTTTGAGAAACATCTATCAATCTAATGTACTCTACTTTCCAATTCTTTTTTTAATTGAATTGGGATATCCATCATGGTGCATATATCCCATATCTAGTGAAAGAAAACTGGTGATGTAACACTTTTAGGACTTCACAGGATTGGAGAAATATAGAAAAAGTAGTGATTTCTGGCATGAATATATGATATATATGTAATACATATTATATATACATATATACCATGAGAAAACATAATAATTATGAATTTTTACATCATATTTCTCCAGACTAATGTGACTCTGATTTGCCATTTGCAATTGAAAAGAAGAACTATTGAAATTTCTTCCAAGTCAACATGTATAAACCAATATTACTTCATCAAAATAAGGACCTATGGTTACCTTGCTATTATGATTCTTACTTTGACTATTTATTATCAGGCACTGGTGGCTCATGTCTGTAATCCTAGCTCCTCAGGAGGCTGAGATCTGAGGATTTTGGTTTGAAGCCAGCCTGGGCAGGAAAGTCTAAGAAACTCTTATGTCCAATAAATTACCCCCTAAAGCCAGAACTGGAGCTGTTCAAGTGGTAAAATGCTAGCCTTGAGCAAAAGAAGCTCAGGGACAGTACCCAGGCCCTAAGTGTAAGCCCCAGGATCAGCCAAAAAAATTATAATGAAATTATTTGGCATTACTTAGGCTTTTGAATGAAGAGTGTCAGCAGGCTCTCTTCTACTGAGCCATGCCTACATGTTCTTTTTTAATGGAAACTATATCTGAAATAAGTTCTTGTCTTCTGTCAAGATATGAAACAAAATCACAATCTGTTTTTTAAGGCTTTCGTCCTAGGCTGGGTTATACTTTTTGTGTGACAACACAAAACTTAGTTTGTTAGGGACTCGAACAGACTTTACTGCCCATACTAGCCTGGAAAAAAGGGCCTCCTCATCTTGCTCATTCAATCATTTAGGATGAGAGGATATTGGCCTCTGTACCCAGCAGTGGGTTAAAAACAGGTTTTTCCAACTTTGCTGCCTGGTTGGCCACACATTGCCATCATCCCATTCCCAACCTGCAAATTAGCTAGGATTATAGGAGTGAGCCACCAGCTTCAGCCCCATTGCTTCAAATGCTTCTTTTGTTTTGAAATGCTCATGCAAATATTTAAAGGGATGACATTGATCAAGATATATTGTATTCATAAACTGCTTTGTTAAATTACAATTCCTTTGTACCACTACTTAAAGATAACAAAAATAGTAAAAATGATAATAAATGAAAAAAGGAATGTTTATATCTTAGTTATATTTTTATTTTATTACTTTTTTGTTTATGTGATACCAAGGAATCGAACCCAGAGCCTCATGCATGTTAGGCAAGCACTTTACCACTAAGCCACATTCCTAGTCCACACTAGGAATTTAAAGAACAGTATAATTACTGGGTCCTTTATGTCAGCTTAGGAAGTATAAAACTATGTCCAGTGTCATTCTTTGTATACCCACAGTCCAGTCCTGCTACATCATAATGAAAGAGCAAATCCAAAAGACTATGTTAATTCTTATCTTGTGCCAAACTCAAATCCGCTTTCACCCATACTCTCTTCTGCATCCTGCTCTGTTCACAATTTACCTACCTCTCTCTTGGCCTTTCTTTTTCTCTTTTCTAGTTTGCTGTTCTGAAGGATTGACTCTGACAGAAGAGACACCATTTTTTAATGGCTGCATACAACCAAGATAAAGAGAAGAGACAGGCTACTCCTGCCCCCAGCCTTCACCTCATTTGTACCTCTCATAGCCCATAATGGCTGAGGGTGAGAGTCTGGTATATATGAGAAGCACTGTTCTGCAACTCTGGCTAGCAGGGTTATTCTGTCTTTCTGGTTGGCCTAGAATTGGGCAGGCTCAACATCACAGCCCCCCAGAAGTGCTGATACCCATGAAGATAAATGACAATGGTGGAGGCATTAGGTCCAAAGAGTGGATCTCCTACAGCCTACCCTTTGGGAATAAGAGAAATATTGTCCACCTGAAAGCTAAGAGAAATTTGGTGTCCCCACATTTCTCTGTGTTCACCTACACAGAACAGGGAGTGCTCCTTGAAGATCAACCGTTTGTCCAGAATGACTGCTACTACCAGGGCTATGTGGAAGGGGACCCAGAATCCCTGGTAGTTCTTAGCACCTGTCTTGGTGGCTTGAGAGGAACACTACAAATAAATAATATTCTTTATGAAATCAAGCCCAAGAACCTTTCGGCCACCTTTGAACATCTGGTTTATAAGATGGACAGTGAGGAGACTTCCCCCCCCATGAAATGTGCCATAACAGAAGAAGAAATTGCACAACAATTGAAGTCTCAAGAGAGTGATGATTTTATACCGAGGCAAAGTGGCTATGAAGGCTGGTGGACCCACAAATTGTTTCTTGAACTTGCATTTGTTGTAGACAATAAGCGGTTCCTTGATCGCAAACGCAATGTATCCAGGGTGATACAGGAAGTATTTGTCATTGTCAGTGAAGCAGACTCCATTTTTTTTGCACTGGATATTGAAGCATCTTTAGTTGGACTTGAGATCTGGACTGAAAAAAATCATGTACAAGGAACTAACTTAGACAAGCTCCTGCTAGACTTTTGCATGTGGAAGAGATATAACTTTAATCCTCGTGTAAGATCTGATATTGGACATCTTTTAATGCAACAACATTTCGGTAGAGATCTTGGCAAGGCATATATTCAAACTGTGTGTAATTCAATTTTTAATTGTGGAGTTAATCGTATACTAGGGGAGAATTTGTATCATATTGGACACATTGTGGCACATGAGATTGGTCATAATTTGGGCATGTTTCATGATAGAGCTCACTGTACCTGTGGAGTGAGAGTATGCATCATGGCTCCAGCAGACAATTTTTCCAGAAAATTCAGCAACTGCAGTTATGCTAAATTTATAGAGACTATTGAACGGACTGATTGTATGCGTTTGCCGCCTCATCCATTACACATCTATAAACATGAGTTCTGTGGGAATCATGAGATTGATGTTGGAGAAGAATGTGACTGTGGATCCATAAAATTGTGTAACCAAGACCCATGTTGTCTGGCAAACTGCACTCTGCAATCTGAGGCTGAATGTGCTTCCGGGCTCTGTTGTGAAGATTGTCAACTCCTGCCTTCAGGTACAGTGTGCAGAGAAAAGGGAAATGTATGTGATCTTCCTGAATGGTGTAATGGGTCTTCGCAGCATTGTCCAGAAGATGTGTATTTGTCAGACGGGTCACCATGTCCTGGTAGTGGCTATTGTTATGAAAACAGATGTAATAACCGAGATGAACAGTGCCAGAAGATTTTTGGGAGAAAAGCCAGGAATGCAAATCAGCTTTGCTACAGGGAAATGAACACCCGAGGTGACCGTTTTGGAAACTGCGGTTTCACTAGCAATGAATATAGGAAGTGTGACATCTCAGATATCTACTGTGGCAGAATTCAGTGTGAGAATGTGGCAGAAGTCCCGATGTTGGCAAGCCATTCTACTGTACATTGGACACACTTTAATGAGGTCACCTGCTGGGGAACTGACTACCATTGGGGGATTGAGATGCCTGATATTGGTGATATAAAAGATGGCTCAGAATGTGGTATAAAACATCTATGCCTACACAGGAAGTGTGTCCCCATGCCAGTGTGGGCACATGATTGTTCTCCGAGAACCTGCAATATGCGAGGTGTCTGCAACAATAAACAGCATTGCCATTGCAATGAGGGGTGGAAGCCACCGAATTGCTGGAACAAGGGCTTTGGGGGTAGTGTTGACAGCGGCCCACCTCCTTGGAAGGATCAACCAAATTGGAGGTCTTATAAGAAGACTTCTATTTTAGTAGTTTGTCTGCTTGCTTTTATCATTTTGTTTTTCATTTTATTCATTCTCTTTTTGAAGAAAAGGAAGAAAGCCACAAGAAAGAAAGAGCCTGATTCGCCAAAGCCAGCTGAGAATGAAGGTGTCACAGACATGTAAACATGTCAAATGTCACATGAGAATAAAAATCTCATAGTTAACACTTTACCCAAGAATGCAAACTTTTCAAATGTCATCTGAAAATAAACTTCCAAGTTTATCAATTTACCCAGAAAGAAGAGCCAAAATTTCAAATATACACTGAAGGCAAAGGTAACAATTTACCCAAAATAGTAGAACAAACTTTTAAAACAACACATGAGAATAAAAAAAATCTCAAAGACAGCCCTTTACCTAAATAAAAGGAGCACAGAGTTCTAATATTCCCTGAGAAAAGAACTCCATGTTCAAACTTCATGTGAGACAGAACAGCCAAGCTTTACCATTACATATGTATTTTCAATGTACTTGCAGTAGAAATGTTATTGCTTGTTGTCAGAAATTACTGCTAGAAAGTTCCAGGATTTCTTTAACCATGCAGGATCCCAGAAACATCATTAAAAATGAATCCTAATATCATTTTACTGTTTATTAATTATTTTAAGCAACTTAATGGTGGATGGGTGGGTGGGTGCATGCATTGGTTCTAAGGCATGAACTCAGGGCCTGGGCATTGTCCCTGAGCTTTTGTGCTCAAGGTTAATGCTCTACCATTTAAGCCACAGCTACATTTCTGGAGCTTTTGGCGGTAGTTAATTGGAGATTAAGAGTCCCATAGGCTTTCTTATACATGCTTTGAACTGTGATTCTCATATCTTAGCCTCCTGAGTAGCTAGAATTGCTGATGTAAACCACCAACACTTGGCTTAATGGTTATTTTTAGTGCAATTCTTGTCTTTGAGGGTCACACGCAAGACCTAACTCCCTACCTCATCTTTCTTTTCTTTCTTTCTTTCTTTCTTTCTTTCTTTCTTTCTTTCTTTCTTTCTTTCTTTCTTTCTTTCTTTCTTTCCCTTCCTTGCTTCTTTCTTTCTTTCTTTCTTCCTTTCTTTCTTTTTCTTTCTTCCTTTCTTCCTTTCTTTCTTCCTTTCTTCCTTTGTTTCTTTCTTTTTAAAAAAAATATGGAACACTTCATGAATTTGTGTGTCATCCTTGTGCAGGGGCCATGCTAATCTTCTCTGTGTTGTTCCAATTTTAATATATATGCTACCGAAGAGAGCAGTCTTTCTTCCTTCCTCCCTCCCTCTTTCTTTCTTTCTTTCTTTCTTCCTTCCTTCCTTCCTTCCTTCCTTTCTTTCTTCCTTCCTTCCTTCTTTTCTTTCTTTCTTCTCTTTCCTTCTCTCTCTCTTTCTTTTTGTTGGTTGTGGGGCTTGAACTCTGGGCCTGAGGAGTGACCCTGAGCTCTTCAGTTCAAGGCTAGCTTGAGCTAGCTCTACCACTTGAGCCACAGCACCACTTCCGGTTTTCTGGTAGTTAATTGGAGATGAGTCTTTCCTGCCCAAGCTGGCTTTGAAACTAAATCCTCAGATCTCAGCCTCCTGAGTAGCTAGTATTACAGGCATGAGCCACTGGCACCCAGCTGGTGTTTTCATTTGGTATCCCAATTGCAAACTCTCTCTTTTCACTGTTTTGTCACGTGGTAAGAAGAAACCCTCAAACTTCAGTCCATCGGAGTGCTGGAGGAAGATTTGGAACCTCAGACAGCTGTGTGGTTGAGGTCTCTTTGGTGATAGCAGTGGTTGCAGTCTGCACAATTAGTATAGTATATTTAGTGTTTTCAAGAGCAAGAGCATTCTCAGCCCCACAGAACACAGAACAACTAACTACCAAAGCACTTGCCTTAAGTTCTGAACCCAAGGTCATGATGCTTGCACCAAATGTCAGAGGTTTCACCTCCAAGCTGAATGTGCCTTCAGCTCAGAATGGGGGGAGGTCATATAACCACATTAGATATTCACAACTTTGGGTTTGAGTCGTTTCAATCTCTTCCCTGTGATCACTTCTCCCCTTCACAGTAAATCATGGTCATTTCAGATGTGGTTTCAAATGTTACTTCAGATGTGGTTTCTCATTCATTGACTTCTGCATGAAAGAGAATGTTTCTTGGTGCCACAGAGAACACAAGAAATCAGAAACGACAATTTTGAAATTTTTTCTTTAGAAATTATTTAATTTTATTAGTATTTAAGAATCTGTAATGGAAGTAATAGCAATCATCATTTGACTTCTTTTTAGCTTTGCTTATAAAATAGGATAAAGAAGATACTTACATTTCTGTTGAATGTAATATATTCTTAAATCACATTTCTTCTCAAACTAACCTCCCCCCCCAAACCTATTAAACTTTGCAAACCACATTGAACAGGGACAAAGTGAGTTGTAGTTTCAAGAAGGAGCACATGAACTAAAATTTTAAGCACAGAAAACAATTCTCGAAAAAGTTGAAGAGTGATCTCCACTCTTTCTCTTGGTGGTCCACAAGTCATTTCCAATTTGCATGGCAGCTGCGGACAAAGTTTGGTCCATTAAGCAGACAGTCCTAGAATTGTGAGTTAGAGAATTTAGGGCCTTCAATTTATCACTATTATCCCTCAATAGTATATTTGCTAAATCCAAAGATTTTAATGGATTCTACTAAGCAAGATGGAAATCTCTAAATAGCATATTTTCATATTGTCAGGACAAAAACAAGGTTTTTCTTAAGTACATTCATTGGTTTCTCGAAGATAACCCTTAATTTTGAGTTTGTATTTGTCAAGAAGCTGGAAAGTGAGATGTTGGACCGTTGGATAGTAGCTGTTGATGCTCTCCTAAATCTTTCAATAGTATTTAACAGTTAGATACATCCTAATAAAAAGTCTTTTGCCAATATCTGAACAATACAGTGTAGGTAAAGAGAATTCGTTTCAGACTCACTAAATCTCATTGAATTCTCCTTGCTCAAATAACAGTAGATATGGACATTCTGCTCTTAGCCCATCTTTCTAAGAGGATAGAGAAGAATACCTTGGGAGAGTCTATGGCTATTTTTGTACACAATTACCTGCATAGATAAAACATATGATCATATGTTTTGGCTGTTGCTTCAAAAATTATCTTGAGCTGGGAAGGTAGCTCAGTGGTAGAGTGCTTGCCTTGCATGCATGAGGCCCTCCCTGGGTTCAATTCCTCAGTACCACATAAGCAGAAAAAAACCAAAACAAAACAAATTATCTTGAATAGGTGTTTAGGGTGTATTTTTACTGGTCTCTATATCATGTATTTCTGCACTATTTTTTTATTTATCAGCTAGATTGTGAACTTGTTTTTCTAGGAGATTGAGATTATTCATATCTAATCTTTCTGTTTTAACGACGTGAGTGCTTACTGTTATAAACTTAGAACTTTCTTTTCTGTATCTCAGTTCTGATAGGTTGTGTTTTCATTTCCATTGGATTCTAAGAACTTTTGAACTTTTCCTTATTCTTCCTCTTTCCCCCTTTTCCTTATACTACATTATTACCATTTTTATAAATTTTTAATGGTTGTACAAAGGTGTTTTAATTTTACATGTCCATTTATTTATGTGTACAAGAATCTTTTTTTTTGGTGGTCCTCCTGGGGCTTGAACCCAGGGCTTGGGTGCTGTCACTGAGCCTCTTTATGCTTGTGCTCAAAGCTAGCATTTTACCATTTGAGCCACAGCACCACATATCTGGCTTTTTTCTGAGGAGTTTATTGAAGATAAGAATCTCAAGGATTTTTCTGCCCAGACTGACTTCAAACCGTGATCCTCAGACCTCAGCCTCCTGTGTAGTTAGGATTACAAGCATGAGCCACTGGTACCCTGCTTGTACGAGTATCTTAAAGTCTCTCCTTCCATCATTTTTTCACCTCTTCCACCATCAGTCTCTTCAGTCTCCTTCCATTTTCATGTATGTACAATGAGCATTACAGTATATCTGTTTTCACCCACAATTCTTTTCTATTTTCCCCTCATCCTATTAGTTCTCACACTCCCATTCAAGATAGATTTCAGCTTCCTGGTATTCATTTTGTTAAACTGATCATTTTCAAATGGGTCTCATCATTCCTTTGGCCTTCAAGTCTATTTTTGTGCTAGTACCAAGCTGTATTTTTTTCAATGGCTTTGTAGTATAATTTGAAGTCTAGTATTGTGATATCTCTAATACTGTTTTTCCCCTCCTTAGAATTACTTTAGCTATTTAAGCTCCTTGGGCTTCCACATGAAATTAGAGATTGCTTTATCTATCTCTATAGATAGCAACAGTGAGATTTTAGTGAGCACTGCAGTGTGGATATTTTTGTGATACTGAGTCTACAAATCCCAGAACAGGTTGTGGTGGTCTTTCCATCCTCTTGTATCTTCTTCAGTTTCTCTCTTCAAGAGTTTATAGTCCTCAAGCCGGGTACTGGTGGCTCATGCCTGTAATCCTAGCTACTAAGGAAGCTGAGATCTGAGGACTGTAGTTCAAAGCCAGCCCAGGCAGGAAAGTCCATGAGACTCTTATCTCCAATTAACCACCAGAAAACTGGAAGTGGCTGAAGTGGTAAAGCACTAGCCTTGAGCTGAAGAGCTCAGGAACAGCACTCAGGCCCAGAGTTCAAGCCCCACGACTGACAAAAAAAAAAAGTTTATGGCTCTCATTATTGAGGACTTTAACTTTCTTGGTTAAATTGTTTTCTGCCATCATTGTGAATGGAGCTGTTTTTGCTGATTTTCCTCTCATCCTGTTTATTGTTGGAGGTACATCAGCTCTAGGAGCTTAGGGATGGAATTCTTAGGGTCTTTTAAAGTATAGGATTATGTCGTATGCACAGCAAGCTAGTTTGACTTCTTTCCCTATTTGGATCCTTTTTATGTCCTTAGATTTTCTTATTACCTTAATTATTACAATATTAAAGTGG